TTACATATATATGTCGGGTAGAGGCGTTTCCCTCAACCTTGGATAAAAGCTATACTTACATATATATGTCGGGAGGCGTTTACCTGAAGCTTGGATAAAGCTATACTTACATATATATGTCGGGTAGAGGCGTTTCCTCAACCTTGGATAAAAGCTATACTTACATATATATGTCGGGTAGAGGCGTTTCCCTCAACCTTGGATAAAAGCTATACTTACATACATATATATGTCGGGTAGAGGCGTTTACCTCAAGCTTGGATAAAAGCTATACTTACATATATATGTCGGGTAGAGGCGTTTCCCTCAACCTTGGATAAAAGCTATACTTACATATATATGTCGGGTAGAGGCGTTTCCCTCAACCTTGGATAAAAGCTAGAGGCGTTTCTTTTACAAAAGTATAAGATCTTTCTTCTGAACCACTTCGCATCATCTAATAATTTAAGTTAGTTTATTGTGGAATAAAAACGTAAATAACAAATGGCATAATGAGGGATGCTGTACTCCATTTCCTGCTGTTAGTTTTGACATAGTTTGCAGTAGTTTGATGTTGAACGAGTTACACGAGTTCTTCATGTGTCAAACGACGAGTATCGGTATGTTCGTAAGTTTGTTTCAGAATTTTGACACAAAGCTACACAAGGGGATATCTGCGCATAGCTGTCTCTAATTTGGAACTGTTGCATCTGAATGGCGGTACCTAGTCAACGATACCCACCGCTAACTGACTCAATAGTAATATTTGACTGTTACTAAAGTACAGGGCGCGATTTTGTGCTAACGGGCCGCGAACCATGAACCGACAAAGCAAAGTACTAGGCTACACCTGGCCTAGTTTATAAGTTAATAGTTTACTCTAAACTAAACGATTGTTTGTGTTATTCACTAAAAATTTAATTGATCGTTTGAAATCATGGTTCAAGTTTCGGACGTCCGAAATTTTTTGTTAAAACAGTTTTTATATTTATGAAACAGTGGTATTTCTTGACTTGGGAAACTCTTTTTTTTACAGTTAGTAAATAGAACACTTGACGATTTATGTTAAAGAAATGAAATATCGTTGTTTATGGTGGGTCAGCCATAAATTTACGCATTTATAAGGCGAAAATCCGAGGTTCGATTCCCCCGCGATAGCGCAATGTGGCTTTGCGCTAAAACAAACAGGTTTATTATAACTGTTTTTTTTTTGTGCAATAGGAAAGTTTCCTTCAGTTGTTAAAGTCACGTTTTTGCAGCGTTAAAAATATAAATGATAACCTCTTCGCTGATTACCCCTGCAGTTACAGAAAGAAGAATTAGGACATCTAAATATTTTGTTGGATAATTTTAGTACTAGTGTTATCTAATTATCCAGTATAAATTTTTCGAAACGGTACTTATGCAATAGAACTTCTGTGTGTTAAACGAAATATTTATAATTTATACATTTTGCATTGGAAAAAAATACTATCTTTATCTCAAACAACTTTCGTGTGTGTGTGTGTGTGTGAGAGAGAGAGAGAGAGGGAGGGGGAGTTTATATTTTAAATTTAATGATGGATTGTTTTTTATCATTATATGTTGAGATTATATAATGATATATACAACAGAAACTTCTGATTGTGCGACTGATTTTCTGGATCTATACAATTTAAAAAAAAAAGATCCAGAAACTTTGTGTTTATCAAAACTTCTTTAATCATAATAAAACATGAATCTTTGTTATTAATAGCGGTAGAAACGATATAATTTAGTCGTCGTGATAATGCCTTATCGGAAATTCGTATCCGCTTATTTTTATCTCAAAATACAAAAGAAGATTAGCTGGTTTACGTCAGAGTCGAAAACTAAAATATTAGTCTTTAATTATGAAACAAGAAGCCCTCTCTAGTGATCCAATCAGAGCTGGAGAGCTTTACTCCTTACAAGTGGCCTACACCTGTCGTCTGCTTGCGGGCCGCCATCTTTGATTTGCCTGGGACTTTTAAATGACGCAGTTAAAGCTGCACCCTTCAGTGTCGATCGAATAGTCACTTTAGAAGTCACATTAAGTAGAATTTTCTAGATTTTAAAATCATATTCAACAGTTTAGAATACATCAAGATGTTTGACAACCATATCATCTTTATATCTTGCTCGGCTTTAAACATTTGTACTACCAACGGGGTAAGTGCTTATATTAACTAGTTAGGCCCAACTTTACATAATACTAGACGAGTGAAGGCCAAGGTAGTAGACGTAGGGAAGAACGACATGTGTACTGAACATTTCGTGTAGGCTAAAGGCAGGACACAATATACAGTTATATGCTTCATATGCAGAAGACTTGTAAAAGTTATTCCTGTTCTTCTTCGTATGTATAAGTTATATGAATGTTTCTGGCGACTGCCTTCTAGCTGATGGAAAAACGCACACTTCTATAAATGTAAAACTAGTATGATACAGTTTAAAAGTTATTTATACATAATAGATTGTACGTTTTCACGAAAATTTTGGGAATCTTACTTTAAGAAGACAAAACTGATTGGATAACATGACATTTTGTGTAGTAATTTATGTAAATTGTTTATTTTTAGTATGTAAAGTATTGTTTAATAGTAAGAAGCATCAGGGTTTACCAGGACAGAAATGTTTAAAACATAAATATTTAGAGAACGATAATGTTTCGTATTTAGATAATTTGCTTTGAAAACAGCCATTTTTATGTTACTTTTCTTTGAAATGAAAAACAACGTTATAGTCTGTGTTTAAATTCGTGAGTGTAATATTATGCTCTAAAATTTATGTTACTGTTATAGTTTTGGTACTTTAAGTTCATTTTATTAATTTCAAATCGATTAACTAGGTTTGTGGAAGTTTAAGAAAAAAAAGGTATGCCAAAAAGGCCCAATTTCTTTATTATGGTAGAGTTTGTATAATTTGTATAATGTATTACTCGTTAATTTAAATTTGAAACCCTATTGTTAAGACGTTCGTTCTTCAGCTCAGCAAACGGATAACATAAAAATAATTTAAAATGTTTACCGGGTAACATACGTGTAATTTGTTTTTGTAAACTAACCAACATTTACAACACAAGTATTTATGAAGAATATATTTGATTGGAATATGTAAAATTAGACATTCTGGAATGTGTTTGGGTTATTAAATTTGCACAAAATTGTTTAATGTGATATACTAATAGAGGTGTTGATGACTTGATAGCAAACGCTAGAGATTTCATCGACCCCTTGTACATATGAAAGATCGTTAGATGTTCTTTTGTTGTGTTTTGGAAATAACTGTCTCTTTTGAGCAGGTGTTTTAATTAAGATAATTGTATAGTTTGTAAACGAGTACTGAATTTTTACGAATATATATGTAAATGTGTATACAGTCGAATTGTATGCTCAATAAAAGAGGGCGCCAGAGGAAGATAGGTAACGTTTTTAACAGGTAAGTCGGCTTTTCGACATTAAATAGCGATTAATTGTTATACTTTAGGGAAGTAATATTGGTTTGAGAGTATTATTCGATTAACAGAGAAGCTATAAACTTAAAAAAGAACTGAAAAATTATTTTGGATAATAAAAAAATAAGGCAACAGTAGAACGTGTGTTCCTACTACATACGCATGCCCGCTATAGCTTCATCGACATTAGAGTACTTTTATCACTTTAATTACATTCACTTCTTATAAACACTTCTGTCACGACGTCCTACATAATTTATGTACTTAATTAACTTTTAGAAATAATGGGAAGATTCACTAAAGATTTCTGGCAGTTTTGTTTATTCTTCATATTTTATTGTATAATGTTCTCAGCGATATATCGTTTAGTAAAGCCTTTCGTTTTTAAATATTTCAATATAACTTAATATATGTGAAGTACAAATTCTGGTTAAGAAGTTAGCACACAGGATCACCTACAAAAGTTGTAATGTTTTTAAAGGTGACCCAAAACTCGAGCGCTTTCGAAGAGTTGACTATTCTTCTTCTTCGTGAACTATTCGAAAGCGCTCGAGTTTTGGGTCTCCTTTGAAAACATGTGTGAAGTACATATATACTCCATAAAATCGGGATTAGCTTAATGTACTGTGAAAGTATTTAAAGAAAAACAACAATAACCTTTGTGCCAAATTAATAAATTTAGTATGTAGTATGTTCTTCGTGGAATTAGGATTGGTTTAATAAATATGAAGACATCTTAAAAATCATATTTATGTAAGTTTAATGTATCTCGCTATAGCACATAAGACTTATTAAGTTTAATGTATCTCGCTATAGCACATAAGACTTATTAAGTTTAATGTAGCTCGCTATAGCACATAAAACTTATTAAGTTTAATGTATCTCGCTATAGCACATAAGACTTATTAAGTTTAATGTATCTCGCTATAGCACATAAGACTTATTAAGTTTAATGTATCTCGCTATAGCACATAAGACTTATTAAGTTTAATGTATCTCGCTATAGCACATAAGACTTATGACAAACGTTTTAAACTCGTACTTTGTTTGTAATTCACGCATTATGCGAACACTTATTTTAAAGATGAGCTTTTATGTATTTTCAGAAGCAGTGAAATTAAAACCATAAAGCTAACAACCACAGTAACCTTAGAAATAAGTACGAATTCACTTAAGTGTATTGATTTTAGTAGCTTCTTAATGCTTGGTAGCGATTAATGAGCAGCACAAGACCGTCTAATAAGTACTGTGTGTAACTATAAGTCGTATTTTGATAAAGTATCCTTGACTCAACTATTAGGCCTAAAACTAATGTGTTATAAGTATTGTTAATTACAATAATGGTTCAACAGTTTAAAAAAAAAAGGCGTTAACTCCATAACAATAAGTCTTATTGTTCACAGCTTTCATAAGGGATTCCAAGTTTTATTTACATTGTTAATCTTCATCAGTAACATAGCAGTGTAATGGTTTTGTTTCAGAGGCTACAAAGGTTGGTGCCACCTGGAAACCACTACGCACAGTAAAACACGCGATATAGAAATTCCAATTTTTAAATATTTTTTTTTCCTTTTGTGTTAGAAAACTTAAAATACCGCTGTGGTTGACATTATGTAATTAAAATTATTTAAAAAACTCAATTATTAGTTTTCTTCTATTTATGAAAGCCGCTTTTTAAAGATTATTGACAGAGGGGAATAATTATATTAAAAGGTGGCGCTGTGGAGGAGGTTATGTTATAAGGCTGTGTTTACTTAAAATAGTATATTCGTATATTTACCTATTTAACCGTCATAATACAGTTTAATGTACGTTCTGTTAACTTCATTAATGTAATTTTAAATAAATATTTTTACGTCTATGGTTTGTTGTATGGACTTGATTAGGGTATCTAAGGTCATACTGATGTACGTGTTATCAGTAGCTTCTGACCAAAAGTAAACTAACTTCTGTAAATCGAGATTCAGGATCAACGTGTAGCTAATTATATCAAACATATTGACTATATGTACTTCCACAGGTTCCTCGAAAGTGTTCTGTTTCAAGAGTATGAATATTTCATGCTGTGTTGTAGCCTACAGATTGCGTAATTATTCTCGTGATTCACGGCATGCGCACGTTTTACTGACGTGTATCAGTCTTCTACAGCAGTGCTTCTTAACCTTTTCCAATATCATTCACTCTTATCAGTTTTCACAACAGCTCACTGGCCCGGCATGGCCAGGTGGTTAGGGCGCTCGACTCGCCATCTGAGGGTT